AGGCTGTAAATCTTTACGGGAGCAGAAAGCCTCATCTTTCTCCCATGGAACAGCTGGTAGTTTCGAACTGCCGACCTTCAGGTTAGCAGCCAATTCGTAACCACTACACAACCAGAGCTCCTTCTATAAGGAGTATGATAATACTATAACAGTAATATTATCTAACGCTATTATTGCCACTCTGTATGCCACTCTTTTGATAGTGTTCCATGTGTAAACTCAGTTAGTCCTTACAGCACTTCTATTTCTTGATGTTCTTGTTACCCTGGGCAGTACAAATGGTGAACACACTTGGCTGCTAACCGAATGACTAACGATTTGAATTTGCTCAGAAAGGGCTGGTGGTCTGCTTCCGAAAACTCAGTCATTGACAAGCCTACAGAGCACAGTTCTACGCAGACACGTGGGGTTACCAGGAGTTGGAAATAACTCGACGGCAACTGGTATTGTTAGCCAGACTTGAAAGATGAAGAATGAGGTGCTCTGAGAAATGAACCAGGGTGATTCAGCTCCCACCCTCTGGAAGGGATTGTGGCTGGTGGTGTTGATGCCAAACCCAGGGTTGCTTCTTTCCTCACCCAGTCCTTCCTCCCTGAGAGGGAGAAGGGGCCTTTTCTCGGATAAGTGTTAACAGCTCCTGTCCCCACAACAGGACCCTACAGCTGGCTCTGCAGGAATTACTATCCCATTTGACTGTAAGGAAATAGAGATTCCGGAAGCACCTTTGATGGTATCAGGTAGCCTACTGTGTGCCTGCTTCCGAGGCCCATTATCATTTAGAGGGATGAGATGTAGCTGAGATACTGGGCACAGTAGACTCGTGTGACACCTGGAACCACACTCTTCCCCTTGAGCTATCGTTTTCTTGACATATAATAGACTACTGTATAACGCATTCTGGCCATTGAGCCATCCATTTTTTGACACAACAATATTTTTTTTAATGTTCCCATTATTTGTCCTTGAGGATTTCATATCTAGTGAACATGAGACATCACACTGTATAGAACGGCATTTGCACAAGTATCCATCCACCCACCCATCCATTCTTCCATCCATCCGTCCACTCACCCATTCATCCATCCACCAACCCATCCATTCCTCCATTCATCCATCCATCTATCTATCCACCCACCTATCCATTCATCCATTCATCTATCCATCCACACATCCATACATCCATTCACTCACCC